GATGTAAAATTTTGCACTCAACAATTATTGGTGCAGAGGTGCTTTATTCGGATAAAAACTATCTACCAAAAATTTTTACAGACCGAAAGTTTTGCTGAAACTCACCTCTCAAATGATAACATTGGCAGACAAGAACGAGAACAACAGCAAATTCAAAGACCCATAGCTTTCGTAGTACCAAATAAGCGAAGAAGAATCCAACAACCACAACAAGAAACGATGCACAGTGCACGATCTTCTCAGACTTTTACATCACAGCAACTACCATCGGAAGAATCAGTGGTAGCATCGATGCTGCACCAATTTAATCAAGATATTTCATTAAGACAAGGCATGCGTGAGCAGCGTGAATTGCTAAATGTAAACGAATCTTCAGAAGTAGAACTGTCGTTTATTCCGAGTCAATTTTTATTCCTTCCTCATAGTAATTTTAGTAGAGCTGTCATTACTGTTTTGAGGCAAAATATGACAAATCGTTCTGTTTATGAAAATTTATTGGCATTTGATGATTATATCTTATTTTCACTTCCACGTAATGAAACGCTATCTTAAATAGTAGCTTTCTTGCAATTAATACACATATTCCTCAACTCAACCGCAGTAATTTTGGTTCGATTGACATCTGTGATTACAATGCACGTTAACAAAACTGACTTCTGACTACTTTATAAACAGTGCTCGTTCTTCTTTGTTACACTTAATATTTTATTAATTTTTTAATAAAACTGATAAAAAGTGATCTATACAAAACTCGAAATCATAAATACAAAATTCATAAACTGTTACAGTGACGATTATTGTAGTCAATGTCGTTGAAAAAGGAATGCGAAAAATGTAATTAATGACTTGATTATAAGATGTAAATGTGTATGATGTATGAAAGTAAAAGAGTTATGGGTATATCAGAAAATTATATCGAATTCACCACAACCAAAAATGATACTGCGCTCAGAATATAAGTTTTATATACTATCAATGGTTCACTTTTTCCTCGTGAAAACTTACTCCTTACTATTTTACAAAAGAAAATGTATACAAAACTTACAACTGTTTGAGTGCATTGAAAATCAAACGATAAAAATTATTTTAATAAATTTGTTTGAATGCAAATTGTTTGCTTCAAAGTGGACAATAAAATATATAGTTTTGTTTTCATGAAATCTACGTCAATTTATATTTATGCATGATATTTCGATAAGTGCTCCTACGTATTTTGAGTTTTTATGCTGCAACAATTGTAGCGTGACAAATTGTGT